TATTAACTGTTTTAATGCTTTGCTAAAGTGGGAATTTCATAGTCCAAACTGATCTTGAAGCAAAAAAATATACAGTCCTCCCTCGCCACTTTGTGCTTCGACTTTTGCGGCTTCACTCTATCGCGGTTTTTTCAAATATATTCATTAAAAAGTTGATTGAGACAGTGAAAATGATACAGCGTGCTCTCGGTTTTCTGAGTCAATTATACATCCCTGTATTACAATTAAAATTAAAATTAAAATTACTGTACATATGGACTGTAGGTCTATGTATTCGAGCATCTCAGGAATCCTTCAACGCCACGTGTAACCACCAGAGTCTGGAATGGATTAACTGTGATAAACGAGGGACGACTGTATATATCTAACATTGTAAAGAACTCTACAGATCCTATTTAAATATAGTAACAAGAATGGAGCAAACCTCACAAGGGTTGACTGTAATACTATAAACGTAAATCTCATTCTTACTCACAGATTTAAAATCAGGCATTAAGCGCTGGCTGCTTTGGCTCAGCAGTTAGAGGACAGAAGGGTCTCAGGTTTGGTTCCTGATCAAAGGCATGTACCTAGGTTGCAGATTCAATACCAGCCCCAGTTGGGCTCCTGTAGCAGGCAACACGATCTATATGTCTCTCTCACATTGATGTTTCTCTCTCTCTCTCCCTTCCTCCCTCCCTCCCTTCCATTCTACCTAAAATTCAATGGAAAAATAAAAAATAATAATAAAATCAGGCATTAAGAAACCTGAGAAATAATCACATGAATTTTGCAAAGAGCATCATATGTGCTATACAGTCTCCTTGATTACACTTTTAGAGATAACCTACCTGAAACATTTTTGATGTAAAAGGATTTTAAAAAATAGCTGACTTGACCTTTGCAATCTTTATATACCATCATAAATCTAAGGAAACAATGAGCAGAGCTCAACACTAAATTACAGGAGACTGGGAAACCGCCTGTGCTAACCTTGCCAAAATATTTTAACTCTCTTTTCCCCCTAAAGGCCACACACACTCCATTTAAGGAGTTTTCAGAGATATTAATTGTGCCAGAAATAAAGACCTGTACCTGTCAGCATTATGAACACTCTTAGCTATAATACTATCTAGCATCCTTATTTTCTCAGGCTGTAAGATTAGTACCTGACTTACGTGTTTGGCAACTTTGGCTGTTTTGGAAAGATTATCACAATAAAAAATTTGTAAAGATTTTCCCATGCCAGTTACAAAATACAATGAAATTAACAAAATTAATTGGGAGTACTAGTTATATGTTTAATGTTTACTAAGTCCTTGAACTTTATAATCATAAGCTCTCTGTGGCTAGCTAGCTCAGAAGACATGATTGTGAAGCTAAAAACTGAGTTTAAATCCTATTTAAATCCATTAATTTACTCGATCCTGTAACAGCTACTTTGCATGAGAAAGCCACCATGCCATTCATTCCAACAGGTTAGTAAATGTGAATGGATCTGCAAGACTGGCTTCAGGTAGTAAATAATCCTAACAGATAGGTGATGAATACAGTAGGGGACATACTTCTTCAATATTTTTACATATTGATACCTAATAAAGACAGAGGGTCAGAAACTATCAAATGGTCATTAACCTTTCTCCAGATATCCCTACCCTGCCAAATGCAGAAAATTAAAAATTATATCTAACAATTTTCTAATGATTCTCTTAGAGATGTTCTTCCAACGTTAGATTAACAATATAATGTGTTTCATTGTGCTTACAGTACATAAGCCACCATGGGAAGAATACAGGTTTATAATAAAAATGGAACGGTCCTATACTTTAGGAATCTGACTAGTTATATTTAAAATTACATTTCCCCAATGATGTTATGTATTCATTTTATAATTTTACTTGCAGTACTTTGAGCTCTTTCACATACCTGTGTCTACTTCGTCTGTATATGCTCAGCACTCAGCACGGTGCGTGGCGCATGCGCACGCACACACACACACACACACACACACACACACACACATACAGGCGTTCAATAAATGATTCCTGAATAAATAAGGGAAAGGCTATTAACTAAGTTTCTTATGGTGAACGTGAAACTTTACTGAATAATATGGAGACAAGAAAATGCCTTGTTAGGTAATTGCTATGCAAATGAATTATTAACTAAATAAAAATTCAAAATTCCCTCCAGTCTAACACAGAATCTATTTAATAATTTATTTTTCTTAAAGAGGTAAACAAGAGGGTTTTTGTTTTGATTTTTACCATGATTATACCAGGGACTTCAATACTGGGTGACAATTCATTTTTGAGCCATTGAATGTTTTATTTTATTTTTTAAGTTCAATGAATGAAACATGAAGTGCCCTACTAAATCTCAATACTCCCTTTACCTTGAATTCTGGGTATGAGTCTTTTCATATGTCTGTTCACTGGGCATTTCTTTTGCTTGTTGTTTTTGTTTTTAGGTTGATTGCCTAATTTTTCATTTGTAACCTTTGAAAGCTTCTAATCTTCCCTGCTTTGCAACTTCACTGACATTTGCTCATTACCAACTCAAGACAGAGAAGATCCTCAGGAATGTTAGCTATCCTTGAAAATGGGTCAGCAAATGCTTGATTGCAATACACTTTTAATGGTCCTATTTGTAGCAGACTTGTAATAACTGGAATCTTGACAATTCTTTGCTACCTTTAAGAGAATCTCCTAACTAGGACTTAAAAAGAAAATATACTGGCACACCACCAAGCAACAATTTTCTCCCTTCTCTTTTATCCACTATCATAAATGACAACCATTTATGGCCTTTATAAACATCTAGACAAAAATATTTTGAGACCTAATAGTGTTTTAGGCAGTTTACTATATGAAAAGGTAAGAGTTTTATTTGGACTGAACAGTTAATGAGGATATTTACCTAAAATGAAATGATAGTTTTTAGGCAGCAATTATATTTGGTTTTTCATATCCTAGTAAATTGTCTCAACACTAACGACACAGAATTTATTACTCACTGAATATCAGGTGAAAACTATTTGCTCAAGGTTTCTTATGGCTTATGAATCACTATTCTAGTGCACAGCCATGGAAATACCATTGAAAGAGTATTAATGCAGAACTGCAAAATCATGGTTCATATGTTCAGATCTGAAATCAACCTCGGAATTTGGCTAGTCCCAAACCTCTGCTTCAGTAATATCAAAACCCAAATACAGGAAACTTGGGATCTGTTCAGGGTTATAAAATTTAGTAGATTAACAACAGAACCTAGGTTCACTGCACCAGACTCATACACTAGGGCTCTCCTCATTTTACCAGCTAGCAATACTATAGACATGGTTTTGCTGCTACTTTATAAACTTTTATCTTTTAAAGCTGTTAATACCTGCATATATTAAAAATACTGCAACCAAGGCAGGCAATAAGCCATTTTCTCCATGAAATACTAGTTCTAAATCTTACTGTGAAAAGGCCACGAGAGCCAAAACGAATTGTGATCTTGACCACCTATAACACTGTTCTCTCTTTGCTGGTTATAGACAGAAAGTTTGGTAGTAAAACAAAAAATCCAGGAGATTTCATATTTTCACCCCAGAACAATTGTACAAATTCTGGCTAACTGAAGACATTAAACAGAGGATTTCAAAGGTTGCCTTCAGTAAATGAGTTAATAAATAAAAACATCATCATACCACAGTGTATTTCTAATGTCCATATTTAGTAAGTGGCATTTATGTAATGTGCTATGACAAATATTGTAAGGTTTTTTGTTTTGTTTTGTTTAGTTTTTACTGCTTTGCTTTTCCTCCAAAGTGAAAAGTGTGAAAGGATATGGAATAGCACACAGGGATATGTCATTTAAGAATGTGAAGAGAAAAATAATTTTTATGTGGTAATTTTAATGGGGTATTCTCCTAAGAAAAAGGAGCTTAAATTATTCTACTCTATTTTGGAGTCCAAGGCCTTTCACTTTGGAGGCAAGTTAGCAAAATAAGGTAACACAGCGAATACTGATAATTAATACAAAGTTTACGATGCACAATGCTTTAGAGATATCCAGTGGAATCGGTTTCAACCGCCTAAGAAGCATTTCCAAAAGATGCTTTAAAACACAATGGCAAACTTTACATTTTGCTATTAGTAGGCTGTTTACAAGTATATAGTACTTTGTGTGAACTAAATATCACGTATACTAAAATAGTCAATAAATATATTTTTCTCTTAGGAATAATATGTGTTGTAGGTACAACAGCGCTTATTAAAACAAAACCACCTTAAAGATGGGCCCATAAACCTTGCTGTACAAGGTTACATCCTCAAATAGCCAAAGAAAACTCTCCAAAGTGATTACTGAAATCCGTACATCTGCCACACTCTCTCCCTCTCCTTTCCTCAGTACAACTCCCTCCTCCACCAGACCCTAGAATTCTAAAATCCAACATATCCTACTTGAAGGCTCAAGTATACACTCTAACATCCCCAAATTCGTAACCTCAACTCTTCTTAAATATCCTACTGCAAGTACCTACACTGCAGGATGCTGCATTTCACCAAAGGGGTGTATCCTCCCTCTGATTTCTTTGGCCTTTTCTCTTTTGATCTCTTGCCCCTTTCTCCATCTCCTCCCTTTCCCTGATCCTCCAGTTCACAGTACTTCTACCTTGCCTCCTCTATCTTTTACCAAATCACACCTCAGCTTCCTAGAGCATACTAAGGTGCCCTGGCTGGGAGAGAAATTATGTTCTTTTTTTCCCTTCAAACTCCTGCCTTGTGAATACCTGCGGTTCCTTTTCCTGAGAGCCCCCATCTTTTTTCGGGGGGGGGAGATTAGGGAAGCCCCTCTCTGCTTCACTCCAGGGGCTACTACTGCGGGTGGGGCGTGGCGAGCTTGGCCTTTACTGCGCCACAGCAGGTGGGGGGTGGGGCGGTGGCGAACCGCGCCCATTCAGGTCTCGGACCGGCTGAAGAGAGGCAGCGAAGGAGATGGGGCCGCCCCCACACCCCAGGACGGGAACTCACCTTCTCTGAGGCAAGGGCGGGTGTCTACTTTAAAACTACTGTCCCCCCTCCCCGCCGCCGCCATAGTGGAGCCGCCAAAGCCGCCGCCGTCGCCACAGCCACCGGCAGGCGAGCTGGCAGGGGTGGAGGTGGCGGAGGAGGCAGGCTCAATCACTGCCGCCGCCGCCGCCGCCGCCGCGCAGGCGGTGTAGGAGGAGGAGGAGGAGGCGGCAGAAACGGTAGCTTCCTGAGGGGAAGACTCTGCTGCCAGCGGTGTGACTGTGCTCGGCGCCGCCGCCATCGCAGCGAGGCGCGGACAATTGCACTTGCGCCTGGCTCCCGTTAAATCCTTTAGCCACGCCTCTCGCTTAGCCACGCCCCCTTTGCCCCTCTTTCTCCCCCTTCAACTCCAGCCTCATTCTGGCTCCTTCTCTCTGCCAATAAGGTTTTAGACCCGCGAGCCGTCTCTACCCTCCCCCTACTGCTTGGCGTCACACTTCTCTCTTCTGAGAGGAAGCAAAGATGGCCAAGGGCAAAGGGCAAAAAGCGCGGGATGTAAAAGCACGTGGGCCTCGGGGAGTGAGGCTCTTCCCTTGGAGGAATTCATCTAAAACCAATTCAGGCTTAAAAAATAATGTATGGAAAAACCAATTGATTCCACCTCCAAAATCACTCTTAAAATACATCTCCTGTCTTTCTTATAGCCGTCCTTAAAGAGTACAGAAATAAGCAGCATCCATGGTCATAACATATTTTCATCATGTCCCCATAAACCACTGCTTGTCTGTCAAACTACTCATCTAAATTAAAAACCTGTGAACCTGGTACCCAACCAAAGAACTAGAATATTGCTGATAATTTAAATAAATATCCTCACTATCTTTTCCCCAACCTCCCTCCCAGAGAAACCAACATCTCGATTTATATCTACGGTTTCCATGCTCTTTTTACATACATTCTTATCCCATAGATGTATGCCTAAACAATATTGTTTAGTTTTGACTGTTTTCAAATTTCATGAAAATTTGTATCTTTCCTGTGTAGCATTTTGGGACTTGTTTCTTTCACTAAACATTTTGTTCCTAAGATTTAACCATGGGGCTATAATTTATTCATTGTTAGTGATGTACAATATCCCATCCATTTCTCTGTTGATGGGTATGTGCCCTGGTGCATCTGTGCAAAAGTCTCTTTCAGGTATGCCCTCCTTTCCAGACTCACTTTCATTGCCCTATTTCAAGTCCTCATCATCTCTTTTCAGAACTATGGCATCTGTCCCACTGGTCTCCTTTCCTCTGAATCCAATCCCTACAATCTATTTTCATATTGCTGTCATTTGTCTAGCTCCCCATTGCTTGTTTGATACTCAAAGGTCATGGCTTCACACTATCACGTCCCTAATCTCACCCTCTTCTGCTGCCTCGACCTCACCACTCTTAGTTTATGACTCCGCAATATTAAATCTTCTTTTAGATTCTTGTGAAGACTATGGTTTTCTCCATGATGCAATGTAATTGTATTTGTTTCTCTCACTTCCTGAAATGCCCTTTCCTCACATCAGGCACCTGCCTGTGGAACCCCTATACCCACCTTGAAACTCAGATAATATATCACTTCCTCCAGGTAACCTGCTCTATCTCTGCTTAGACTTGATTCTACCCTATATCTGTGCTACACCTATATCTTGTGTATATTTGTATTATGTGCATCTCTTCTCAATAGCCTAGGACCATTCTGAGACAAAAGAGTTTGTTTTATTTTTGATGCCTCATGCTCCAGAACAGTAAATTCCTAAGGCAAAGTTCTCAAACCAGTGGACCTTAGGCCTAGGTCCCTAAGTCCCTAGATCTTGCCCACGGATATGTTTTGTTTAACTGCATAATTGCTGATTTACTTCCTTGTCAATGTTTAAAAGGGACATTTTGTGCAAAAAAAAAAAAGAAGTATTTTAAAAGCATTTGAACATTGGCGATAGTAGCTGTGCACTGGAGCTGAATAACAAATTCAGAGACTTGAAATGCTGGGCTCTTAACATATCTTTAGGTTGTTTTGTGGTTCAATAATTTACCCAATATTATCCGAGTAATTGGGTGATTTCTCTAATCTGTTAGCATGTCCTTCTATAATTAATGAAACATTTACTCATCAAAGAAATTATTGGATAGGTCATGCACAAGAAATATTTCACTGAAATATCCAGGAGGACAAGGTAAGCATTAAAATGGATTGAAATTTCATTCCCTCCAATATGGGGGAGTGTCCCTCAAAAGCATTGTTTCTCAAAATATGAATCACAGCCCACTTGTAAAGGAATATTTAATCAGAATATCTGAGGAGTGTGGGAATTTATGTTATAGAGTATATTTTTATTGACATGAAAAACTTTCATATATACGTATATATTTTTATGAAAAGGAGGTTATACAGAACTTTCACAGAAAACATATCTGTGTATGCCTAAAGTATTCATGTTACACTATACACCTTCATATACATATTCTCATTCGTGTTCTCTGCTCCCCACCCCCATTACGCAATCACAGAACTTTTTTTTGTCAGCCTAGAGAGGGTCTGAGGAGAACATCCTACCAAGTGATTTAGCATCCACATCTTTGCCAGAATCACTCTAAATGTACCCTTTGCAACATAAACATCTAGAAAGTTCTCATTATTTGAGAACTACAGGAAATCGTTTTCCATAGCCTAAGGTTACCTTCTATGATTGGTTAAGGGAAGAACACGTTTAAGTATTGGTCACTTAATAAATCCAATGCAATTTGGGAGTCAGGGAACAATTTCAGCACCCTATTTATTCTTGTTTCATGTGCACCCCTGACCTCTGATTTTTCATTTTTATGTTATCCATCCTCTTCGCATTACCATGCGGCTCTTGCTTTGAGGAACATCAGCTGCTATCTTAGTCCTATCTAGGGTTGTTTTTTTCAGCTAGAGACTGTTTGCTGCAGTCAAGTGACAGTGAAGTTAAATAAAAGTAATTTCACAAATAGTGTGTAGTATAATATTTTTTAAAATTTAGAACTAATCTTACCTTTCAGCTAATAATTATTTTCTGGATGCAAACAATATCAGAATAAATGTCACTGTAGCGATTTTTTAAAATTATTGCTAAAGGGCCCTGGGCCAGTTTGGCTCAGCAGTTAGAGCGTCAGCCCAGGGATCAGAGTCCTGGGTTCGGTTCCCACTAAGGGCACGTACCTCGGTTGCAGTTTGTCCCCAGCCCCATTTGGGGTCGTGTGGGTGGCAATCACTCTATGTGTCTCTCTCACGTCGATGTTTCTCTCTCTCCCTCTATTCCTCCCTCTCTCCCTCCAACTCTATCTGAAGATAAATGCAAAAATGTCCTCGGGTGAGGATTAAAAAAAAATATTGCTAAAGGGTGTAATTCACATGGGCATTTAAAGAATACTTAGCACAATCATGAAATGCAAGATTTTATGCTATAAAAAGGGTCTATTAGCTTGATGATATTGTGTGTGTGTGTGTGTGTACTGAATAGCCCAGACTCAGGTCTTTGAACTCCCTATTCAACAGAACCACTCACCACAAGTTTTTTCTTTAGGAAAATTTTTCTTTTCAAATAGCTCTCTTCTATGTCAGTTCTGGTCCTCAGAAGACATCAGAACAGAGGCTCTGGCCAAAAAAATTGTCCACCAAGACAAATCTCTGCCAGACATTTTGAATCCAGACTTCAGAATAAAGACAACTATCGATCTGAGGGAAGGTTTGTTTCATCAGAATGTTGACTTGCTGCAGGAAAACAGAAAAAGAGGAACACTGTGAAGAGAATTGGAAGCTTCCCAGGATATGAAGGAAAGCAGGGTGAAGAAAATGAAGCAGTGGACACATTGGTCAACTGTCCTGCCTACTACAGTGTTTTTGTTCCCAATGCAGAACTTCTGAACATAACCAAAGATATGTCAGAAGAGGAGAATGAAGAAGAGGAGCACTTAGGTGTCAACAGAAAGAAGGCCGAGCTGATGGCAAGCCTTACCCACAATCTTGAGACACTCCAGGAAGAGGAGTGTGTGCTAATGGACATCAAGCTTAATGGTGTCTTGGGAGAAGAGGTGGAGGCTTTGGTCAATGAGCTCTGCAAGCTCAATGAGTTTTACAAGTACAAGGTATTCAATGGGGACTTGGCCATGGTGGTAAACCTGCTGCTCTCCCTGTCAGGGCACCTAGCCCACATGCAGAATATCCTTAGTGGCCTTGGTGAGGATGCCAGTAATGAAGAAAGGAGCTCTCTCAACAAGAAGGAGAAGGTCCTGGCGAGGCAGCACAGGGATACCCAGGAGCTCAAGGATAACCTGGGTCAAGGGAATATGTAGTGTTGGACATTCTGGCCAATTACCATTCAGAGGAACAACTCCAGGTTCCTAACATTTTGTGAAAGTGAAGTCAACACTCCTCATGGAGCAGTGAAAGCTGGACAAGATCAAACGTGGCCAGGAACAAGTCAAGTGTCTGTTGGAGAGTTTTCCCTCGGATTTCATTCCCAAGGCAGGGGCCCTCTTTCTGTCTCCAAACTTTCCCAGTGTAATGACTCTTCTTAGGGTATGTACTTTCAATGGTATTTTCCCAACATTAACCTCTCCACTTTAACCTCTTCTAAAATGCCCAAAGATCACCCTTTCTTTCAACACTATTTAATCTGAAAAATTTATCAGTAAAAAGCACTGTTTAAATTATATAACTGCTGAGGGGTGGTTCTGGATAAAAGGAAGAGTCTATCCAGCAAAAATCCTGTTTTGTTTTTTTTTTCCTTCTCATCCTTCATGATTAATCTTCTGAGAACTTGAATGCTGCTCAGAATTTACCTGTTTCTATTATTACTTTATAGTAGAATGAAAATTAATGAAACTGTGATAATTAATTGGAGTGTGTTTGATTGTTTAGTTTTCAACAGGCTGAGGTGACAGAAATCAGAGTGTGTTACCCTCAGGAATGTATCCTCAGTGGTCTTCCTTACTTGTGGGCAGTGTATCCTGAGGACAGGTACAAGTATTTATCAATGAAGTGTCTATGACATAAAATCCTTAAAGAGAAACACACACAGAAGAAAAT